CAGGGAGCATCCCCATCAGAGGGGCTCAAAGTACAGAGAGAAGAGGAATGGATTCAAAATGGGATTACTGACCCTTTCACCTAAAATACCTTAAACATCCTGTATGTATCATCTCAGAAACCATTCTTCAGGGCTGCCGCGACTAAGAAAATTAATGCCACTAGCCCCCAGAGCCTCTCCTTTGGCACCCTTGTCACGATTGGCTTTACCCCTCTGCCCCTACGTTCCTCCCTCCATCAAAACCGGAATCCTCATCCCCCTAAAACAGAAAGGATTAGCCACAATTCAACCCTTTTGCACCGATTTAGGGCTCAAAGCCTTAAGGAGTTGAAGCACTAACAGTAATTTCCAGAATGGGGCCAGAGCACAGGGATGAAGTCTGTCCTCCAGGGATGGTCTGGGGAACGAGGGGACATAGTTGGGATTGGGAGGGGCTGAGGGCTGGGAGCGAGGAGACAGTTACTGCAGTCCTCTCCCCAAGGCTCCACACTCACCTGGCACCACTGCCAAGAAGGCGGCCAGCCCCAAATGTGCACATGCGATGAAGGACCAGGTTGGCAAACTGGGGGAAGGTGGTCTCTGACTATGTGTTTAGGTCCGTGGCCCCAGGGAGGTGCACACTCCTAATGATCCAAGTTATGCAAGAGTTAGGCCATTTACCCGAGAGTCATGTGATCCAGCTTCGCAGGACAAATATTTAATCATTGCTGGAGTCGAAGCTGCCCTGGTTGCACCAGGCTGGTGGGATCCGCAGGCTCCTTCCAGGAGGCAGATTAGCCCCAGGTGATGAGCCCTCTGGGGTTAGCTGGGATCTCCTAACTCCTGAGAAGTTCTGGGAGAAGACCTGCTGCCCCTGACCACCATCCATGTGTAGCTTCACAGTCTCCCAGTATCCCTGTTGCCTGGGATCTTTCTACCTGAAATCAGTGTGGGGTGCAGGGGCCCTGTCTGCCACCACCTGGGGGTCCTCCTGTCTCTCTTCCCTTCTGGAAGAGCTGCAGGCGCTTAACACAGCCCCTTGTGCCCAATGCCGCTGTGCGGAAATGTAGCTGATTCGAGGGTGTGTCCCTATGGCTTCCTGGCCAGAAATCTCAGCAGTAAAATTCAAGATCACATTCATGGAGAGGAAGGAGAGCAAGGGACTGTTTTGCACAACAGACAATCCCTAATTCATCTGTATGCCTCTACTGCTAGGACGCTGGTCCAAGCCACCATGACCTCTGACATCTCACTGGGATGACATCAGCCTCCTCACTAGGCTCTGGCTTCCTCTGCTTCCTCTCAGTCTGTTCTCAACATGGAAGGTAGAGAGAGCACATTAAGCCTCAGGTTGGGCCGTGTCACTCTCTGCTCTAACCCTCCAATGGTTTCCCATCTCCCAGACTAAAGGCCTAGGAGATCCCAGGTAATCTAGCCACTGTCACCCACTCACCTGTCCCCAGCTCCTTCATCTCCTAAAACAATTCCCCTTTTCACTCCAGTCTAGCCTCAATGGACTCCACGTTCCTGGAATAGGCCAGGCATGTGCCTGCCTCAGGGCATTTGCACTTGCTATTCCCTATACTTGGAAAGCTCTGCCCCCAGATATCCACGGGGTTCACTCTCTTACTACTTCAATTTTTTTCCCCCATTCAAGAACATGGTGTTTATTACATTGTGGCTTTCAACGTTGATACAGGAAAAGTGACATGACTAGTTATTTTATTCTTAAATGGTACCAAGAGCTGTGCTGAAATCTGCCCAGTATCTGCTGATACCGAAGACTACAGTCACCAAAAACAATTGCCAGAACACAATTATTTTTGTAATATAATATTCTAGTTTAAAATGACAAAATGCTTAGTCAAGACATAATTGTGAGTAACTGGATTTTTTTCAGTGTATGATTTCCTTATATTGGGGAACTAGAAATTTGCATAGCAAAAGTAAAATTTCTATGAACACATACGCAAGGATAGTTCTGATTTTTTTAGTTATATAGTTTCCTTTTTAAAAACCTACTTTTTTAAGGTGTGATGGACATACGAAAAGCTGTATGTGTTTCATGTATACAACCTGATGAGTTTGAGATAAATATTCACCTATGAAACCATCACCAGAATCTAGGCTATAAACCAATCCCTCAACTCCAGAAGCTTCTGCCCACTTTTTTTTTTTTTTACAAGAAAATTTGACATCTACCCTCTTAGCAAAGTTTTAAGTATACAAATTTTATACTTAAAACTAAATTGGATTGTTAATTATGGGCAGGTTGCTATTCAGCATTCTCCAGCATTCAGCATTTCTGCATAATGGACACTTTGTAGCCTTTGACGACACCTCCCAGTTTCCCCATCCCCAGCCCCTGCTAACCACCATTCTACTCTTTGCTTCTGGGAGTTTGACTATCACAGATTTCTAATACACGTGGTATCTAATACACGTGGTATCACGTAGTAGGTGTTCTTTGATGTCTGGCTTATTTCACTTGTCTTCTAGACTTATCCATATTGTCTCAAATGGCAAGCTTTCTTTTTTATAGCCAAATAATAGTTCATTACAGGTAAATACTGTATTTTCTTCATCCATTTGTCTACCAATTGGCCGTTAGTTTCCTTTTAGGTCTTGGCTATTGTGAATAATATTGCAATGAGTGTGACAGTGCAGACAGCTCTTCAAGATTCTGAGTTTAGTGGCGCTTGCGTGGGCTCAGTCGGTTAAAGCATCTGGCTCTTGAATTTGGCTCAGGTCATGATCTCAGGGTGGTGGGATCGAGCCTCGTGTCGGGTTCCGTGCTCAGCACGGAGGCTGCTTGTCCCTCTCTCTCTGCACCTCCCTCCGCTCATGCTCTCTCTCTAAATAAATCTTTAAAAAAAAAAATCCTGATTTTAATCCCTTTGGATATATACTCAGAAGTGGGATTGCTGGATCATAGGGTAGTTCTATTTTTAATCTTTTAAGGAGCCTCCATCCATCTCTCATAGCGGATGCACCAATTTACCTTCCCACCAACAGTGCACAAGAGATCACTTTTCTCCACATCCTTGCCAACACTTTTTATAATTGCCACCTTATAGGTGTAAAGTTATATTTCAGGATGGTTTTCAATTGCATTTTCCTGATAGTGATGCGGAGTACTTTTTCATATAGCTGTTGGCCGTTTGTTGTAGGTCTTCTTTGGAGAAAGGTCTGTTCAGGTTCTTTGTGCATTTTTAAATCGGGTTATTTGTGTTTTTGCTGTTGAGTTGTAGGAGTTCCTTATGTTTCACATATCGGCTTTGATCACATATGTGGCTCACAAATATTCCCTCCCATTCTGTTGGTTGCTTTTTCATGTTGGTGGCGCTTTCCCTTGCCATGCAGAAGCTTTCTAGTCTGATGTAGTCCTGCATGTTCATTTTTGCTTTTGGTGCCCGGGCTTTTTGTATTATATCCCCAAAAAATCATCGCTCAGATCAATGTCAAGGTGCTTTTTGTCCCCCCCGTTTTCTTCTAGGAACTTCAGCACTTCAGGTCTTATGTTTCAGTCTTTAAACTATTTTGAATTGATTTTTGTGTATGGTGGAAGATAAAAGTCTAATTTCCTTGTTTTGCACGTACTCAGTTTTCCCAATGCCATATATTGAGGAGACTATCCCTTCCCCATTGGGTCTTCCTGGCTCCCTTATCAAAGATCAGCTGACTGTATAGGCGTCCCATAATTTCCAGGCTCTCGATTCTGTCCCCCTGGTCTATGGGTTTTTATGCCAGACGGGAGGCTGTCTGCAAGCGAGAGAGAGAGAGAGACAGACCTGACAGGAAACCAACCCTACTGGCATCTTGATCTTGGACTTCCAGCCTCCAGAGCTGTGGGAAAATAAATTTCTGCTGTGTATGCCAGCCAGCCTGTGGTACTTCGTCATGGCAGCCTGAGAAAAGTAATAGTGTAAATATTTGCCGACCAAATGAATGCCTTTCATGGGCCTGAAATGGTTGCTTTTGTCACAGCTGGGGACTGACTGGCTTTCTTGTTCTTCTCCTTCCAACGCTAAGGTGGGTGTTCACTGAGCATCCCCCACTCCTGGGGGTGGGGCATAAGCCACCACTTAGCATCAATCACGGATGCTAAGAAAACAGGAAATGATAAAATGAAGGTCAAAGCTCTTGATGGTCACAACCTCTCCATGGGTAAAAATGGGCCCCAACAGCTGGGCCCCACCATCTGTCTCCGTGGATTCTTTGACCTGTCTTTGCCACCACCGTGTTAGAATTCTCTCAGCTGTGGCCCAACAGGTAACGTGAGCGTGCGAATGGAGCTAAGCATGAGCCACAGGTCTGCCTCCTTGCTTCTAAGACAATACAGGCCAAAGAACAAATGACCAAAAATGACCCCAGGCTGCCAGTTTGCAACCCCTGCAAAGCAGCTATATAGAGCCCATTTGGGCTAGATACCTATTTTCCTACGAGGAGTTCTGGGCAACTGATCAGCCATCAGTCTCTGTATTGGGGGGTGGGTCACCAAGGAAACAAAGCCTAGGAATAGGTGTTTTGTTTTGTTTTAGATTTTATTTGTCAGAGAGAGAGAGCACAAGCCGGGGGAGTGGCAGAGGGAGAAGCAGGCTTCCTGCTGAGCAAGGAGCCTGATGGGGGGCTCGATCCCAGGACCCTGAGATCATGACCTGAGCCGAAGGCAGACACTTAACTGATCCACCCAGGCGCCCCGGAAATATGTCCTTTTTTATGTGATGGATAAATAAAGCGTAAGATATAGCATTCGACTCCAAAAAGCAAGCAATCTAGTCAAAGAGTCTATTGTTAATTATGGATGGGTTGCTATTGAGCATTTCTCCAGGATTTAATCATCTTGCATAATGGACACTTTGTAACCTTTGACAACACCTCCCTGTTTCCCCGTCCCCCAGCGCCTGCTAACCACCATTCTACTCTTTGCTTCTGGGAGTTTGACTATCACAGATTTCTAATACAAGTGGTATCACACAGTAGGTGTTCTTTGATGTCTGGCTTATTTCATTGTCTTCTAGATTTATCTGACAACGCAAGTGAGGGGGATTAGTGCATCGGTCCCTTCCTTGGATGGGTTCCTGCTGGGCTTCAGCAGAGGTACAAGAGGTGGCCACGTTACTGATCGGACCTGGGACTCTGAGCAAGCCGGGACGGGAAAGAGGCATCCTTCGATTACGAAAAACATGGTCTCTGGTAATCCTGTGGGCCGGGCTGAGTGGCTCCTGGAGGCATCCATGACCTCTCTGTTTATTCCGGAGAAGGATCACATTTTCTTCTTACTTAGCACTCTGCAAACCCACAGGCCGAGGGCCACCCCCAGTATTTACCACACAAGTCATACGAACGAGAGAACAAGCCACACTCAGGAAGAGGAGGGTCTGTCCATCAGCCAAGGCCTTCTGTGCATTTATACTCCTGTTTCTGCCCCCTCTGATTTGAGGGAGAAGCTCAATGAACAAGTCTCTCAGAACCAGTGGTTTGGGGAAGTTAATGGGAGGACAGTGGCATCTTGGTGACAATTAAGTGAGCCTGGGGTGGGGGTGGGGGGGGCTCTGATGGCTGCCATTTTTCTGGTTGAGGGGGCTCATCAATCTTACCTCTGCTGACACAGAGGATGCAAGAGATAGAGTTCAGCCCCAGTGTGTGACAAAATCCCCTCTGTGACATCACGCCTGGTTTGACAGCCATGGGGACAATGTGAAGATCCTCTGGTGACAACAAATACTTCTGCTCACCACCCACCCCCCGCCCCATCCTGCTTTGCAAAGCACATGTCCCACAAGTCCCCTGCAACAGGAGAGGAAGACACAGGGTCAGACGTGTATCCGAGGGACAGCCCCATCTGAGACAGGATCGGAATAGACCAAACATGCTCTGGCTCCCGAGGGCCTCGGGCGGAACGGTCAGGAACATTTCTGCATGATTCGGACTGGGCTACTCCTTTGGCTGGGCCAATGTCAACAAGTTGTTAGCTTTGCCGTGTGGACATATGGAAGGCTGGGGGCTCCTCGCCTGGGCGGGGGGGGGGGTAGTCCCACCTTGGACCCATGCACGTAGGCAAATCCATAGGCTGATCTTACACAGAAGCTCCCCCACATTTGTTTTCACAGTGGGGAGCCCATCTCCTGGTGCCCCTGAGCTTCAGGGAGCCTGGAACCGTTGGGGTTACACTTCCAATTCTTTGCGGGTAATGCCCTTCATGAGAGCACACAGCCTGTCCACATCCTCACGTGCCATTCATGTTATATTCCAAGACCTGCTTCTTCTACCTGCTTCTCCACCCCCCCACCCCAGACCAATCACTCCAGCAACAACAGAAGGACACCTGCCACAGCGGCCACTTGCCTGGGAGCCCCTGGAGGAGGGTCTTTGCTTCTACAACTAAAAGCCTGTCTGCTCCTAAGAAAGAGAATTAGCCCCAAGCCACAGGGAGAGAGATGGGGGCGGGCAGATGGGATCCAGAAACCCGTCTCAATCCCTATCCTGCCATGATTGCCACAACCAGCCGGGCCGCGGGTCCCATCCCTTGTAGGAAGAGCCTCCGCTTCCCAAACCATGAAATGGGGAGACCGGTCTCGAGTTCCTTGTCCCTTCCAGCCCTCAACCCTTTGATTCTCAAGATTGCAAGTCAGAAAGGACTTTAAAGAGAAAATAGTGCCATCCTCCAATGTTGCAGAGGAAACAGAAGCAGAGGGAGGGAGGGGAGGTTTCCAGTGCTCTAGCCAACCAGCTGCACGTGTGAGGGGTGGGAGCTGTGGGGGGGGGTCCAAGTGGGTGTGCACATGAGCGTGTGGGCCGTGTGGGCGTGTGCCTGCACGGGAGGGGTCAGGGTGGGAGCGAGGCGCAGAGAGAATGTCTCTTTCCTTTCACAGATCACCCCAGAGATCTCGCCTTTACAGGTGGAACTGAAGATAAATGGATTAGCCAGGTGAATAAACCTGTATTAAAAAACCTTCTGAAAAAAAAAATCAATTTGAGAGAGAAGATTTGGGAAAATAAAATATGATCAACTGTGTCATAAATCGATGCCTGCAAGCTTGAATAAATTGAGGCCTGCAAGTCTGGTAAACAATTTCTGATCTACGGCTCCCATGGTAGCCTCGCTGGTGGGTAGTTACCTTAGTAATTGGACCATGGGATGAGGCCAGGCCAGAATGAAAGGCATTAAAAATGATGTTTCTTCAAGTGAAAATTAATTTGTTTGCTGACCAACAAAGACCAAAGTAATTTCAGAATTTTAAGGATGGCGAGACATCATAAAATTGTTTACACTTTTCACCCCTCCTTAAATTAGGCATGGAACCCGAATGGAAATGAGAAAGAGACCAGCCTCTCCGTCCCCATGCAGGATACTCTGAGCACAGAGGCTGGCGGCTGACCCGAGCGGGGTGCAGGTGCCCAGGGGGGGGGGTACTGGGGGTTGTGGGAGCAGGGGGAAGGAGGGCCAGGCAGGACCCCACGCCCAGCTCCAGACAACCAGTATCTACTGCAGGCAAAAATCAAAACACCACGGAAAGTCAGAGGAGCTTGGCTTTTCTGCTCTGGACTTGCTCCTCACAAGGGAAAGGCAAGTTAAAGCAGCAGCTTTTGGTGCTAGAATAGGTCAATCTCAAAAAGAATAGAAGTTAAGACCTAAGGTGGTGGCGTGCACCTGCTCGGAAAAGGCAGGTGGGTCTGGGGAGGCAGCGGCACAGGTGGCCTGGAGGGCAGGCCATGCGGGCACCTGTGCCTTGTGGGGCTCACATGTCTGCACGGCAGCCAGAAGGATCTTTGTAACGGGGATCAACATAGACCCCACTCCAGCTTGAGCCACTGGAATACAGGAGCCGCCTCTTAGCAGCTTGTCAAGTGTTGTCTCAGAAAATGCCCTTTAATGGGTAGAAAGCAGAATGCTTTCAATAAAACAAGTCCTGAGAAGCAACGAGCTATCATTCGCACCCAGTGGATCATCTGTTCAGGGGCCTCTTTTTCCAATTCCCATTTCAGCGACTTCACTGTAATCGCTTACCTCAAGATGGGGGTGTTCCCACCATTGAAATGGGAGCCGATCTGCAGTGTTGGCCCAACTCCCCAGCTGATGGTTGAACCTGTACCAGCACGCCACGGCCCACAGCCTTCTGTGGGCTTCAGGCTGCAATTCTCACAGACAGTGGGCTCCTTCCCTCTGGCCTGCAGTGTCCCTAGCTCTCCCCGCTGCCCCCTCTGCACCGGCTCACGAGCCTGAACATGCTCCTTGGATGATCTCTGGGACAGCCTGTTCCTTTGGCCCAGGATGCTTCTTTTCCAGATCTTTGTTTGACTGTCTTCCCCTTTCTCCAGGCCTCGGCTGAGATGTTACCTCCCCCGGGGGGTTTCTGTTACCTCATCGTTTTGGTCACTGTCACAATGACCAACTTTATTTTCTTCACGGGACTCCCTATGCCCTAGAATCCTTGTACTGTTTGCCTGGCCTGGCCTCCTGACTTAAGCTTCCTTAAGTGTGGTCATCTGAACTCATGCATTTCCTCGGAGTCCAGCCCAGAGCCTGGAGCATCCCAGGCTGCTAAATTGAATGAGTGAATGAATGAATGATGAATGAATGAATGAAAATGAATTATTGAATGAGTGAATCGTAGAGAGCCTCAAATACCACCATGGACCAATCACCGTTTTTGCTCACTATTACACCTCCATTTCTGTTCTGAAAGTAGATAATTTCAGAGAATCCCACTTCCAATGGTGAAAACCCTCGATGGAGTAAGTTTCTCCTTCCTCCAGATGAAGGAGGCCAGAAGAGCCTGGGCTAGCGGAAGAGGCCACGCAAAGGAAAAAAAGGCCACCAAAGTACAGACTTTGCTCATCTAAATCTGCCGAGTGACATTTCTAGGAGTTAAGAGCTACGGACAGTCCTACCTGCCGACTACACCTCCCTTTAAAAAAAACAAAACAAAACCTCTCAGATGGAAAAGATCAGACAATTTGGTAACAGACTGTTGGAAAATGTATCAACACACATGCACTCTCATCTGTGGTTCTTGGGAGCTTAAACTGATACCTCCTTTGACACTATTAAAAATCCCAATGCACATGCCCTTTGACCTAACTATTCCACATCTAAAAATTTATCCAAAAGATCTGTGCTCACACAGGTCCAAAATTTCGAGTTCACAAGTTTAGTAATTGTGGCAAAAGATTAGCAACAGCGTAGGCAAAAGATTAGCAACAGTGTAGGAGCCCCTCGGTGTGGGACTACTTAAGCCAATTACAGAATGTCCAGAAAATAAAATCCTACAGAAAAAGAATGAGGAAGTTCTTGATGTGCTACTATGGAATGTTCTTCAAGATATATTAAATGAACCACAGGTATATGCTACCATTTGTGTAAAAATGGGCAAAGTGAGACAGATGTATGCACAACACACTGGGGCTAAGAACAGCTCTGGAAGGATGTACGAGGCCTCGGGGACCTGGCTGAATCCGGGTGGGGAGGCAGATGGCCGAGAAACAAGAGTGAGAGGACTTTTTACTGGGTGTTGTAAATTTCAATGAATTGAGAAATGACATCTCGTATGCCAAGCACGTACGTTAACGAACATAAGCTATAGATTTGGCACCAGAGCAGTTGAGAGAAAATTCTGTATCTCGGTCCTGTTGATGCTGCCCAACTTTCCTTGCTGAAAAGGATGAACTAGATGGCGAAGGACTTCAAACTCTGGGACACAACTGACCTGCTGCCTTCTTTGGTTTCTGCATGTGTCCCCGGCCTCGGGCCGCAGACCTCCTGTGCTCTGCCTACATTCGCACACGCAGGGACCTCATCCAGTCTACATGCCAGACTCCCAGTCTGTGTCTCCAGCCTGGACCTCCTTCCTGAGCTTCAGACCCATGGCATCAGCTGCCTCTGTCTGTGCTCAGAGACGGACACCTCCAACACCACGGCATCGGCCCCGGCATGCAGCCCTCCACAGGCCTCCCGAGTCGTAAGCAGTCATAACCTTAGGATCATCCCTCCCCCACCTCTCCCTCCACATTTAACCTGTCCACAAACCTGGGTCACCCCAACCCTAATCATAGCTCAAATCCACCCACATGTACACATATGCCACTCCCACTGCTCACCTGAACTGTTGTCAAAGCCTCCTGCCTGGTCTCTCCCTGACAGCCCTGAAAACACAGCCAGCTGGACCCTGTGAAAACCCAACTCAGATCATGTCACTCTGCTGCTCCAAACTCCCAATGGTTTCCCATCTCAGAGTAAAACCCAAAGTCCTTGCAGTGTCCCCTATGACACTCTGTAATCCCTTGCCCTCACCCTACACTCTGGCCTCGTCTCCTACCACCCTGCCCCTTCCTTGTGCTGTTCCAGCTACACCAGCCTCCTTGCTCTTCCTCAAAGATGCCAACCACAGGACCTTTGCACTTGCTGTTCCCTCTGCTTGGAAATTTCTTCTTCCAGACAATGATGTGGCTCACCTCCTCGCTTCCTTCAGGGCTTTACTCAAACATCACCTCCTAGGTGAGGTCTACCTTGGTCACTGTATCTGCAGTTATAACCCTCCTTCCTCTACCTCCACTACCACTCCCCCTTCCCCCCCACTTTGCCACCTCCCTTCTCACCAATAAACCATGTGTTTTACTTATTTATCTTGTATATTATTGGTTTCTCCCTCTTGTCTGTTCCACTAGGGCAGGGATATTTGTTTTATGGCTATGTCCCCAGAACTCAGAGCAGTGCCTAGCACATAGTAGATGCTCAATAAATATATGTTGGACAAACATATCCAAGTGGTTGGCTCTCCAGCCAGTGGTTGGCAACCTCCTTGAGTCTGTTTTATTGCATAAGGACAGAATTCTCAGCAACGGCTCTGAGGGGCTTAAGCAACCTCTCTGCTGCTCATGCTACTCCACCTGTAGGGCACCTGCTAGAGAGGCACCATCTATTGCCCTGACCATCTTCAGCAGGCAGAGGCCTGCATATCCCTAATCCCCAAAGCTCTTTCTTTGGTGTTACAGTGAGATTACCTTAGAGCATGTGCCAGAAATCCAAATGCCCACAGGTATCTGACAGGACATGGAAGTGAGGGATGTGGGTCAGGCCCAGCCAAAGGGGCAGCGTCTGTCCAGCTTAGGCCAGCCAGTACCAGGCAAGGATATGGATCACCACAGTTGGGTCTTCTGGTCATTCCAGGGAAACTGGAAATGTTTTTTTTTTAAATGGGAGGCCTCCTAGAAAATGCTCAAACACTGAGGGATTAATCAAACCCATCCTAAGGGTCACTAGTTGGAGACCTCTGCATGGACCCTGGACCTAGCAGAAATCTGAAGAGGGGAGACCCTTGGACAGGTTCTACCTGTGGTTGTAATGCACTGGGAAAAATTGTGTTTCCTCTCTACTGTTCTCTAAGGAGGGTGGATTCCAGCAACTGAACGATCTGCTTTGCTGACTTCAGCTCTATTCTCATTGTATGGCCTTTGCTCTGCTTAAAGAGGGGGTCCACAAGTTTACGTGGGCATGCAAGCTTAAGGAGGGGAGACTCCACTCAAGTGCATCAGAAAGGAGTAAAATAAGGGGAGAAGACAGAGGTGGGGAGGGAGGGGGAAGAAAGGCTGGAGTGGCCGACAGAGAATGAGGAGACCAAATGGGGATTTTTATTCATTGGGAACTGTGGGGCTTTCCTCGTGGAGCCCTTGCTTGGTCTGGGTACAAAATCTTTTCTCAATACGTTTGTGCCAGTGCACTTCATCTCCGGGGGGAGGAGTCTGAAGGAGGAGGAAAGGAGTGAACGGACATGAGTCTCTTTGGCTAAAGTTAGTTTTAAATATCGATCCAAAGTTGGGGGCAAAGACCCAGGGATTCCACTCACAGGCCTATGTGCATATATACATAAAAGAATTGAAAACAGATGTCCCAGCAAAAACTCGTACACAAGTCGTCATAGCAGTTTTCACAAAATCCAAAGGTAGATGAATGAACGGATAAAACCAACATGGCGCATCATTCAGCCATAGAAAAGGAACGCAGTGCTGACCCCTGCAACGACATGGGTGAGCCTCGAAGATGTGAGGCCAAGTGAAAGAAGCCCGTCACAGACAGACTACATATTCCAGGATTCCATTTATCCAAAATCACCAGGACTGGCAAATCTATAGAAACAAATTAGCAGTTGCTTAGGACTGAGCTGGGGGAGGGGGTGGGGTGACTACGGGGCGAAAAGCTAAAGGGGACGAGGTTCATTTTGGGGGATGATGATGATGGTGATGTTCTAAAACTGGCGATGGTTGCACAATCCTGAACACACGGAAATCCATCGATTGTACGGTTATGTGAATTACATCTTACCAAAGTTATTTAAAAATTAAAAAGTTGGTGCCACACCGTGGAAGATTAACAATCCACCA